CAAAGGAGTCAGTGTGCTAAAATTTCTTCATTTTCCTTGTTTAGAATCAGAGGTGCTAGTTTCAAATACTTTTTAGTCTGAAATCTGTATGCTAGATATTGAATAAGGTGGTTTTATTGTTTTTTGTCACTTTGAATAATATTTCTGTTCATGTTAAAAACAAAATCAACTCTCTGTATAAATATATCAGGTGACCGTTAAGGCCCATGGGCCTCTTGTTAATCATGTAATTTCATGATAACTTTTCATCTGTCAAATAATTTTAACACAGTTTGTGTGATTATTTAATTCATATACAGTGATGAAATGTAATCCTAAATAAGTATCAAATATAATAATTTATTTCTAAACAAAAGCTGATTCCAATATTGGCAGAACAACCATAACAGAAAGTACTATACATATGTCAGACTTATAGGACTCCAGGTAAACTTGACATCTTATAGGACTCCAGGTAAACTTGACATCTTCCATTACTCCAGGTAAACTGGAGTGCACTCCTGATACACCACAAAGTTTACCTGGAATTCAAACAGAGTGCACTACAAGTTCAAATGGAATGGACACACAGTGCACATTGTGTAACCTTTAGTATGTACACAACTGTATCATGATGAGTGATGTATGGACTTATTTATACTAACAGAGGGTTCAAACAGAAAAGGCTGTAATTTGAAAATGTATACTGAGTTTTCAAGGTTAAAGATAAGAAAATAGTTCTCAAATCTTCACATAGTCCAAATTATTCTGACGTTAAATCGACTTTTTTTATATCGGTCTGGCGTCGATTAACCGACACCAGACCGATATAAAAAAAAGTTGATAAAATGTCAGAATAATTTGGACTAATCTTCACACAGACAACTGTTGACATGTGGAACAATCTAGTGTTGACAGTTAAACAATTGAAACACTCTGAAAATCAATTACAAAAATATTGTTTTAAAAATTTACTTGTGCTATGACTCTTAAACATTTCATTGATTATTATGTATCTTTATGCAACAGCTGAATATTAAAAGTTGGTAACTCCTGAACATATTATATATAGTGGCTGATAGAGTACACATGGGCCTCTTGTTTAATATAAAAGCATTAAAAACATATCTATTGTAAACGGAAAAAATGAAACATTCCAGTATGATATAACTCCACCCCTCGACCCGCTCTAAGTACATCATGGCATAGTAAGCACGGCAAAGGTGAACATCAAATACGAAAATTGGACCTGCCTTCACTCGAATATAGAAGGGAGAGAGCAGACATCATCGAAATCTACAAAATCCTAAATAACATCGACCATATATACCGTGAAAATAGGTTTTAACTGGTGTGGCAGGTTTTAATTGTACATAGGATTAAGGTCGCCATCTAGCTTCGAGCTAGAGGAAATTCCCTTTAACTCAGTGGTAGATCGCCCGACTAGGAATCTGGAGATTGAGGGTTCTATCCCTGGTGGAAGCACACTATTCTCTTTCTTGTTTCAAATGGTGTCCGTGGCCCTCCCTGTGTAACAGTGAGTTAGAACCTGGGTTGTGGTGTTTGAGGGTGAACACATTTAAAAAGGGGGGAGTAGTGTGGCAGGTTTTAATTGTACATAGGATTAAGGTCGCCTTCTAGTTTCGAGCTAGAGGGAATTTCCCTTTAGCTCAGTGGTAGAGTGTCCGACTAGGAACCTGAAGATCGAGGATTTGTTCCCCAGTGGAAGCAAACTATTCTCTTTCCTGTTACACCGGCATCAAATATGGGGACCTGAGGGGCATCCAAAAAAGCTGTTCAAGAAACCGTTTCATCTTGAAGTAAACAAAAATGTTTTCAGTAACAGAAAAATAACAAAATGGAACAGTCTACCAGAAGTGATTGCCACAGCAATGAACCTTAACAGCTTCAAAACATTACTGAACAACCATAACATTACCCGAACAGGTCCAAATTCCGGGTCTCTTTTTACAATTAATACCATGGACACCACAAGTGTTTTTAAAATATGTGTACTTTTACTGAACCTTTGGGAACAAATCAACAAGTGTTAACTTTATATAGTATGTGTGTTAAAAATATACTACACGTGTGTGTTCATATAGTGAGAGAACTGTTAGTCTATTTTATAATGTGTGATTAACATAATCAATACCACCATCAATGTGTAAACTATGGAACTTATATCAATTTATGCGCAACCAGATGGACATGATTAGATCAGTAAATGAAATGCAATCAAGACATCTACAAAAGCTAAAAGCTTAAAACACGATGTAGATTACAGCGAAAGATACAGCGAAAGAACATTTAAAGGAGATTGGACATGTGCAAGTCTAATATAGGGCGAGCGTCGTAGAGCGGAGTGACCTCCCCTTTTGAATTTCCTGTTGACTGTCATACGGTGGCTACCAAATACACAAAACCATTATGAATGTATTATGTGCTAACGAGGTTGTAAATAGGATGAGAATGCTGCAGATGAAGTAAGAGTGTGAATAGGAGCACTAGGGAGGGTATGTTTATCAGTATATGCCCTGTATTTTTATTATTGACGCATTGTATCGCTTTGATGCAGGGAAATAAGTATGCATTGAATTGTGAGTATATTGATTTTGTTGAGTTTTGACCACGGGTTACCGACTGACTTAGCATAAACCGGACCATTTACTCAACTAGATCAATATGTCATCAAGTGAATGCATATCCCGTGACCTGGATTACTCTCGCTAACTCCAGCCGGACAACTTATGTGAAACTGTGACCTAAATTATGAGTCATGGGGAAACCTATTTTAACATGTAGGCGGTCTAACACTGTAGGCGCTATGCCATGATGTTGTAAACGGGAATTTACATATGTTGATAATAAGTCGTGTCTCATGGTTTACTTGTCTCATCAGGAAGTTATGGTACTTTCCTATTAAACGTGCAATTTCCTCATGTTTATGATCCATGCACTGTCCACATTCTATTTATAGAATCTTATCATAATATATTGAAAGGGTAATATGTGTGTATTACTCTATCATACTAGCTGTATATAATGATAGGTGTTACTAAGCTGTCAACAACTATAACATATTAATGTTGTATCTGTCAATTGAAAATGTTTATTGAATCTAACATTGATTCACACCCTTTTGATTGTTGTACATGTAATTACAAGCTGTACATAAATGTGAACATCAGTGTAATCAACTTTGTGTGTAAGGTAAGTTTAAAGTATGCAAAGATGTAGTATTTACTGTGTGTGCATACATTATGTATTTTACATTATCATGAGTTTAGGGGGAAATTATGATACACTTTGAGATATTTCAAGTTTGTTCAATCAAGCTTACTTGTGCGGCAGCAGACAAAAGTTTGGATTGATCCAAAATGAACCGTTCCTGACTGAAGGCTAAACCACACAAGTTTTGGGCGTTGTTTTTCTGTTTGATGCTTTGTTCCCTGTACTGTGATCAACATAGTGTTCAAAGAAGTAGAAGTTTCACATAAATAGAAATGTTTTAACAAAATTAAATTAAAGTGATAGAGGCAGAGCTGAACTGTGAAAGCACCAGTTTGGATTTTGTAGATACCACATTTGTATGAGCAAAGTAGTAAACAATATAACCACAAAGAATCATTAAGTCTAATAGTTTGGTATGTTTTGTAGACTAGCAATACATTCCATCTGGGCGGCCTATTGATGCATTTCGAGGGGACCTTTGACAACTACATTATTTTAACTTACCAGTAGAAAACAAATGTCTTCCAATTTTGTAGGAGACAAACCATGACGAGGAAGGGAGCGGTATGGGTAACACCGGGTCCAATGACGAGTCGCCTCCGATCCGCTACAACGCTCGTGAGGACGTAGTAGTAGGTTTACCTGAACGCTCCCCTAACATCCCAATGTCTCCAACAAAACCGCGCCAGCGACGCCGCAAGCAACGCAAGACCATCAATGCTGACAAAGCAAGACCACGTCGTCCCCGCCCACGTGACGGTGTCAGTGTGAGTAGTGATGAGGGGGACAACCAGCTAAACATTTCCCATGATGCCTCTGATTGGGAAACAGGATCTCTGAAAGGGAACCTGAGTATCAAGTCTCTGAGCGAAAGAAATGTAAAATATGGCTTTGGAAATGAAAAGCATTGTGAAACAAACAGTGAACAGAAGAAAGTCACAGATGACCCAACAGAGGTTGAAGTGATGGTGGATAAAGAGAATGTTGATGGGACCGTGCAACAAAGGGAGATAACTGTCAGTGACCATTCTGGACATGGGGTTGTTGACTGTTCAGTTCTCCTCACTCCCCCCTCAGAAGAGGAAGCTTTAGCCTACGCAAACATAACCAATCTAAGGGGGTTAACTCACAGCACTACACCCACTAGTAGTACTGAAACTGACAGATCTGTTTTGGAAAACTATGTGTCCTTTGGTCCATTGTCCTCAAGTGGGGCCATGTCTGGTGTGATGTCCTCAAGTGGGGCCATGTCAATATCAGATCAGGATGAGGACAAAGATGTGAGTGCTCCTAATGCAAATACGAAAATACTCTCAAACACAGGGACCACATACAACGACAACAACAAGTTACACAACCAGACATTACAACAACAAATGACAGGGACGCTAGACAATGTCCCTCCACTTATAGCCACTACAGACAACCACTCTCGCACCACAACAGATGAGCTTATCCACAACACTCCAGAAAAAATTACTCGCACCTCATCATCGGGTGACGATACCAGCAACTCATCATCCCCGTTTAAATCAGCCAGTAGTCATGTGCATGGGCAGTCCAGCTCCTCAGGGAACATGAGTGTAGACGATGAGGGGACAACTGACAGCTTGTCGTCACTAAGCAACAGAAAGTTTGACAAAGGCTTCCAACAGTCATTGCTGCACCGGCTCCATGAGTATTCAACAGGGGGAAGCAACTCTACATCGTACGAGACATCGCCTGACATCTCACCATACCACAGAGCAAGCAGTGGTGTGTCTAGTCGCCAGGGAAGTCTTTCTGACCTGGCAACCTCTGATAGCGAAATATTCAATATGGATGGTTCCAGCTCCTTGGCAGAGCAAGAGTTTTCTAAAATTGAGGGAGAGATTGGTCATTTAGATGAAGAGTTTGTGTCTTTGAATACAAAATTAGTGGAACTTATGAGTAAGTCCGCTACAGCAAGTAGTGGAAATTCAGCCATTCTTCCAAGTTTATGTGTTGATATTGAGTCAAACTCTATTCCTGCTTCTCCAGTGCGCAAACAGAATGATGCCTTATTGAGTAACAAAAAGCTAAAACATTGTGTGTCGGGTAATTCAAGTCAATCCCACAGTGATTCCTCCTTTAGCCCCCAGCACCTTCAGTCAGATGGTGTTGATCTGTCGTGGGAGTACTATGACATGGACCCTGAAAATCTGCCTGGGGATTCCCAATTCAAGGAGGAAGCTGAACATGATTTAGGCAATATTGTTGTGCAAAAAGAAGAGAGCAGTGATGGCATCTCTGCAGCTGGTGAAGACAATGGCCACACAACATGTGACGACTTGGAGATGGACTCGTGTAATGATGGTACAGGGGAAAACAACTATCCCAAAAATGACCAGTCTACCACTGGTAGGTAACAGAGGAAGATTTATCTCGTAAAAATGACCAGTCAAGCACTGCTAGGTAGTATATTTCTTATAATGGGATGATCACTTGAGAATTTACCAGTTTGCAATAAGTAGGCAGCAACAGGGAAGGTAACTCTTCTGTAATTGACAAGTTCATCATATATTTAGATAGGTAATGGGAGGAAGTATTTCTTAGATATGACCAGCCTACCACTAGTAGATTACAGGGGAGGATAACTCTCCCAGAACTTTCCAAATGCCATGTATCTTCATTATTGTTTCCAATTTATGTTTAATTCAATGTCAATACCAATTCAACTCTTGGAAATCAATGTGTTACTGTGTCAGACTATACACACACTATTCACAGGTTCTGTCCAGATTGGGAATAAGGTAAACATCGTAGATTATGCTGAACGAGAATGGAAGGGAGAAACAGACAAAGCCTCCACAATCAAACAGGTATAGTCATCAAACATTGGTTAGGTATCACTTCATATCTAACCATCTATCAACAGATGTTGGGCTGTTGTTCAAATTGCTTATTTTCTGTTATCCATCCTTAAACAGTTCTTGTTATTTCTCAAAAAGTACTTTATAGCTCCTTCTTAAAATTTATACATAGGTTTCCTTCGATCCATTGTTGTCCATGACATGTTCAGTTTTAAAACTACCAGGTAATCTAAACAACAAGATTGCTGCCAGATGGCATTCTTTAAATTTGTATGTAAAATTTTATTTTCAACATTTTTCGGAAAATTTGAAGTTTTTGTTGGTAATTAGTTATGTATGTTCTAACATCCGACGGATTGCATAAACAAGATGGCAAGCAGATTGCCATCGAACATTTTTTACCCCTTGTTCACTTGTCCACACTTTTTTATCTGTAAAAAAAGAGGCTGCTAAAATATCGTTCATTGCCAATGAAACTACATGTAGGTACACATGATATGTACAATTTACAAAGGCTATGGCTAAGTTTGAAGTTGAGCAAAATACCAGTATGTGCATGGTTAATTAGCATATTGCACTTTGATTGGTCAACGGTTTCAGCACAAGAACCTACCATAATAAAATATGACTTGATGATTCTTATCAAATTTGGTCAATATTTGCAATATACTAAGACAGTTATTGAGGTAATTTTGGGTACCGGGTACATGTAGTCCAACATGGCCCATTGGACATCTGGTTATATAAAGTTTTATTAACGGCAATAACTTTGAAATTTGTAACAATGAAATTGATTTTAGATAAAAGAGGTCAATTTTTGTTTACCTGTTGCCAGGCCTACACAGAGGTAGTGAAGATGATCCCCTGTCAGAACCTGCAGCCGATAAGAGGAGACAACTACTGTGGGATTCGTGGCTGCGTGTTCCAGTGCCTATCTAATATGCTCAGTCCCCGGTGTGCGTGGAGGTCACTAGATCACACCCTTTCTCTCCTCCATGCTACCTATACTGATCCTGCCTCTAGTCTCCATTGCTGGACCTTTGCTAGTCGCCTCACCCCACAGGAGCCCCTGTCACAGATGCAAGCCTGCCTCACCTACCTGTTCTCCAAGGTAGACTCTTTAATGGTTTATGGACAAGATGTAATGTAGGAACGATATTCTGTCAGTGAATATGTACTGTCACTAGAAATATGTACTTTCACTAGAAATATGTACTGTCACTTGGAAATATGTACTGTTACTAGAAATATGTACTATCACTAGAAATATGTAATGTCACTTGGAAATATTTACTGTCACTAGAAATATGTACTGTCACTAGAAATATGTACTGTCACTTGGAAATATGTACTGTCACTAAAAATATGTACTGTCACTAGAAATATGTACTGTCACTAGAAATATGTACTGTTAATAGGATAAAATGTATATGACTATAGAAAATATATACTTTTCTTATGAAATGCATACTGTTCATTAGGAACATAAAATATACAGTTCATAGGGAAAATAAACTGTTTATAGGTGTTTATATGTAATATATACTGAATTGTACTGAATAGGAATAACATACCGTTGACCCTTATCAATACAGCCAGAATTGTTGTTTTTTTTCCCCCTTCATACAGTTATTTTGCAATCCAGGCACTTAGTGCTTTCCCTTTGCATTGTAATTTTCCAAAAAATCCCAAAATGCTGAATTTAGAGTCAATTCCTCTTCTGAAAAATTATGTCATTTGGTGGTTCTATCTAGTTTAGAAGTTTGCAGATCTGCTTTAGTTTAAATTCTTCCCTTCATGTTGTATTCACAGTTTGAGGATGCGGAGCAGATGTCAGCCTATGAGGAGCGACGTCTGTGGGCCACATCCTTGTTGAACTCTGACCCTGCTGGTGATGTGATGCTGATGGAAGGTGTGAAGCTGTTGATGCTGTTAGAGGCTGTGCGCCTATACAACAGGAGTCAAACTGGAGCCGATGTCCCCCTGTTTGTCTGGCTTATGTTCGCACGTGATACATCAGACACTCCTGCCAAATTTGTCACTAATCACCTCAACTGTGTGGGAGACACGGCCGGACTTGAACAGGTGGGGCTACAGGGACGTACACTAACATGGGTTACTGTCACTGAATGGGGATTCCTTACTTTGTCGTGGTCTTAGCAGGGTATACTCACTCTGGTGGGACCAAAGAGCACAGAATGAAGGCCACACTGATTTAAGTACCGTATTTGACCACAAATAAGTCCCCATGCCTAGTGAAAAAAACATAGACCAAAAGTAGGGAGACAGCTTAATTGGGAGCAACCCTCCTGTTCACAATTGTTTGCCATCTTGGATATACCACTGTTTTGATCTATGACCACACTAAAATGCATGACCTTATAGTTGTTCATGTTATAAAAGTAACAACTAACAGACAGAACGTTTAATAACAGTAGGGAAGTAGCTCTTTAAGAAATGAAATTTTAAATCTGGAGTAATAATTCAGGATTTATTTTTTTAAGTCGTGTACCTTGGTACCTCTCATTATAGTGATGGAAATAATTTGTTAATAGGTTTTCTCTTGGTACTCCAGTTACCTCTGACATTAAGATCCCCCGAACGCTAACGTCCAGGCCAACAAGAGTGGTTAATATTTATATTGAAGTTGAAATAAAAAAATTCATAATGGTCGTAAGTAGATAAAATTCATATTTATTTATAGTAAAAATCTTGTGTACAAGATATCTAAAGAACCTATCAACAGATTTAGTGTGTTTGTTTGAAACTTATTCAGAATTGCTTGTTTCAGGTGGAGATGTTCCTGCTAGGACATGTGCTGGGAGTCAGTATACAGGTGTTCCGTCTCAGTCAGTTTGGACAGGATGACTTTGTGACCTTCTACCCAGACAACCAGCAGGAACAATGGCCAGTGATAAGTCTGCTGGCAGAGGATGATCGCCACTACAATGTAGCTGTACCCTAAGGGACCCAATGCAATTCTTACTGTACCCTAGGGGTGCTACTGCAGTGTAATGAAACCTATGGGAACTACTCAGTGTACATGTACCTAGAGTAACCACTCGGGAACCACTACAATGTACCTGTAACCCTGGGATGCCACTACCTAGGGTAACCAATACAATGTAACTTTATTTAGGGTTGCCACTACAACAATTTACATGTGCTCCAGGGGAGCTACTACAGTGTACAGGTGACCTTGGGATACCAGTACAGTATATCCGGTACTTGTAATCTAAGGGAACCACTACAATGTACTTGTAACCTTGGGCGACCATTATAACATACTCTTAACCTGCAACCACTATAATGTACTTGTAAATTAGGTGAAGCCCTAGAGAAACCATTAAAATGTACAGGTGCCCTAGGAGAACCACTACAATGTACATGTAACCAAGGGGAACCAGTACAATTTACAGGTAATCGAGGGGAACCATAACAATGTAGGGTAACCTAGGGGAACTATTACAATGTAGGGGAACCTAGGGGAACCATAACAATGTACAGTTAATCTAGGGGAACCATAACAATGTAAAATAACCTAGGGGAACCGTAACGATGGACAGGTAACCTAGGGGAACCATAACAATATAGGGTAACCTAGGGGCACCATAACAATATAGGGTAACCTAGGGGAACCATAACAATATAGGGGAACCTAGGGGAACCATAACAATGTACAGTTAATCTAGGGGAGCCATAACAATGTAAAATAACCTAGGGGAACCGTAACGATGGACAGGTAACCTAGGGGAACCATAACAATATAGGGTAACCTAGGGGAACCATAACAATGTACAGTTAATCTTGGGGAACCATAACAATGTACAGTTAATCTAGGGGAGCCATAACAATGTAAAATAACCTAGGGGAACCGTAACGATGGACAGGTAACCTAGGGGAACCATAACAATATAGGGTAACCTAGGGGAACCATAACAATGTACAGTTAATCTTGGGGAACCATAACAATGTACAGTTAATCTAGGGGAGCCATAACAATGTAAAATAACCTAGGGGAACCGTAACGATGGACAGGTAACCTAGGGGAACCATAACAATATAGGGTAACCTAGGGGAACCATAACAATGTACAGTTAATCTAGGGGAGCCATAACAATGTAAAATAACCTAGGGGAACCGTAACGATGGACAGGTAACCTAGGGGAACCATAACAATATAGGGTAACCTAGGGGCACCATAACAATATAGGGTAACCTAGGGGAACCATAACAATATAGGGTAACCTAGGGGCACCATAACAATATAGGGTAACCTAGGGGAACCATAACAATATAGGGTAACCTAGGGGAACCATAACAATATAGGGGAACCTAGGGGAACCATAACAATGTACAGTTAATCTAGGGGAACCATAACAATGTAAAGTAATCTAGGGGAACCATAACAATGTAGGGTAACCTAGGGGAACCATAACAATATAGGGGAACCTAGGGGAACCATAACAATGTACAGTTAATCTTGGGGAACCATAACAATGTACAGTTAATCTAGGGGAACCATAACAATGTAAAGTAATCTAGGGGAACCATAACAATGTAGGGTAACCTAGGGGAACCGTAACTATGTACAGGTAATCGAGGGGAACCATAACAATGTAGTGTAACCTAGGGGAACTATTACAATGTAGGGGAACCTGGGGGAACCATAACAATGTACAGTTAATCTTGGGGAACCATAACAATGTACAGTTAATCTAGGGGAGCCATAACAATGTAAAATAACCTAGGGGAACCGTAACGATGTACAGGTAACCTAGGGGGAACCATAATGATGTACAGGTAACCTAGGGGAACCATAACAAATTTAAGTAACCTAGGGGAATCATAACAATGTAGGGTAACCTAGGGGAACCGTAACTATGTACAGGTAACCTAGGGGAACTATAACAATGTAGGTGAACCTAGTGGAACCATAATGATGTACAGGTAACCTAGGGGAACCATAACAATGCAGGGTAACCTAAGGGAACCATAAAAATGTAAGGTAACCTAGGGGAACTGTAACTATGTACAGGTAACCTAAGGGAACCATAACAATGTAAGGTAACTTAGGGATGCCACTACAATGTTCTTGTACCATGTTCACTGGGTCAGTAAAAACATGCCAGCAGGACTCGGCCCTTATCATACCTCTTTTGTGTAATACTAATGCTGCCATTACATTATGTTATATTGATCATTGTTTAAATAACTTGTACATATAACATTGGTCTACACATACACACCACACACTGACTTGTATATATATATAAATAATGTGCAATAGGCCTGTGCTGTTGGAAAGATTGTGTGGTATAGTATATATATATATATTGTACATATAGGACATCTGTATATGAGACATTATACAGAATGTCACCCTGGTAGAAAATTGTACATATTTGATATCAAGTGGAGACCAATGTCGTCTTTAATTCCCTTTGTCCTATTTTAATGCTATATCAATAGCCTTTAAGTGGTAGGAAAGAAGCAGTGGTGACTGTTGCTGGGTTTAAAGCTTTTAGTATTATTGTTCATCTGGAGAAAAAGGAGATTGAATTTCTGTTTTTATTAGGATTTTTAATTTTGTTTTGTTTCTTGTGAACGCCTTTCATCTGTCGTCATGCATCATCTTCAAACAATAATATTTTTGACTTTTTTTCAGAAACTGTCAGATTTTGATGAAACTGTAGTAAAGTTAAGTGAAACATTCTTACTTCCATCAGGTGACGGTAAAGGCCCATGGACCTCTTGTTTTATACCCTGTTATATTTTGATAACTTTATATTATAGAGATGACTTGTGCTGCTGTATTTATCACCTACTGGAAATACATTATTTCTTATTCACCTTAAATTACAAAACAAGTATGTCAAGATTCTTGTTAAATGTTTCGGTGCAAAATTGAACATAAAATCATACTTTTGATGTTAAACATGTCTTTCTCTCATACATTTGTGTTTAAGAAAGCAGTCTTCTGATTGTGCAAGATATCTATCTTAAATGGCATTTTCTATGTAGGTAATGATTTGAATGAAACATATTTGATATAGACTCTCAAACAATATGGTTTCTGTGTACAGTTGAAAGTTTTATTTCTGGGATGGAATGTTGTTGATCGGGCGACACTGCAAACACTCTAGTTTTGTATACAGTGATCGGGCGACACTGCGAACACTCTAGCTTTTGTGTACAGTGATCGGGCGACACTGCAAACACTCTAGTTTGTATACAGTGATCGGGCGACACTGTGAACACTCTAGCTTTTGTGTACAGTGATCGGGCGACACTGTGAACACTCTAGTTTTGTATACAGTGATCGGGCGACACTGAACACTCTAGTTTTGTGTACAGTGATCGGGCGACACTGCGAACACTCTAGTTTTGTATACAGTCATCGGGCGACACTGTGAACACTCTAGATTTTGTATACAGTGATCGGGCGACTCTGCAAACACTCTAGTTTGTGTACAGTGATCGGGCGACACTGTGAACACTCTAGTTTTTGTATACAGTGATCGGGCGACACTGCAAACACTCTAGTTTGTGTACAGTGATCGGGCGACACTGTGAACACTCTAGTTTTGTGTACAGTGATTGGACGACACTGCGAACACTCTAGTTTTGTATACAGTGATCGGGCGACACTGTGAACCCTCTAGTTTGTATACAGTGATCGGGCGACACTGCAAACACTCTAGTTTGTGTACAGTGATCGGGCGACACTTAGAACACTCTAGTTTGTGTACAGTGATCGGGCGACACTTAGAACACTCTAGTTTGTGTACAGTGATCGGGCGACACTGAGAACACTCTAGTTTGTATACAGTGATCGGGCGACACTGTGAACCCTCTAGTTTGTGTACAGTGATCGGGCGACACTTAGAACACTCTAGTTTGTGTACAGTGATCGGGCGACACTTAGAACACTCTAGTTTGTGTACAGTGATCGGGCGACACTTAGAACACTCTAGTTTGTGTACAGTGATCGGGCGACACTGTAAACACTCTAGTTTGTGTACAGTGATCGGGTGACACTGTGAACACTCTAGTTTGTGTACAGTGATCGGGCGACACTGTAAACACTCTAGTTTGTGTACAGTGATCGGGCGACACTGCGAACACTCTAGTTTTGTATACAGTGATCGGGCAACACTGTGAACACTCTAGTTTTGTATACAGTTAAACATGTCTTTCTCTCATACATTTGTGTTTAAGAAAGCAGTCTTCTGATTGTGCAAGATATCTATCTTAAATGGCATTTTCTATGTAGGTAATGATTTGAATGAAACATATTTGATATGATATAGACTGTCAAACAATCTGGTTTCTGTGTACAGTGGAAAGTTTTATTTCTGGGATGGAATGTTGTTGATCGGGCGACACTGCAAACACTCTAGTTTGTATACAGTGATCGGGCGACACTGTGAACGCTCTAGTTTTGTATACAGTGATCGGGCGACACTGTGAACGCTCTAGTTTTGTATACAGTGATCGGGCGACACTGAACACTCTAGTTTTGTGTACAGTGATCGGGCGACACTGCGAACACTCTAGTTTTGTATACAGTGATCGGGCGTCACTGTGAACACTCTAGTTTGTATACAGTGATCGGGCGACACTGCAAACACTCTAGTTTTGTATACAGTGATGGGGCGACACTTTGAACACTCTAGTTTGTGTACAGTGATCGGGCGACACTTAGAACACTCTAGTTTGTGTACAGTGATCGGGCGACACTTAGAACACTCTAGTTTGTGTACAGTGATCGGGCGACACTTAGAACACTCTAGTTTGTGTACAGTGATCGGGCGACACTTAGAACACTCTAGTTTGTGTACAGTGATCGGGCGACACTTAGAACACTCTAGTTTGTGTACAGTGATCGGGCGACACTTAGAACACTCTAGTTTGTGTACAGTGATCGGGCGACACTGCGAACACTCTAGTTTTGTATACAGTGATCGGGCAACACTGTGAACACTCTAGTTTTGTATACAGTGAACGTTAGTCTGGATACTCATGTGTAGACTCCAATAGAATGATTTGTACAGTGATCGGGCGACACTGCAAACACTCTAGTTTGTATACAGTGATCGGGCGACACTGTGAACACTCTAGCTTTTGTGTACAGTGATCGGGCGACACTGTGAACCCTCTAGTTTGTGTACAGTGATCGGGCGACACTGAGAACACTCTAGTTTGTATACAGTGATCGGGCGACACTGCAAACACTCTAGTTTTGTATACAGTGATGGGGCGACACTTTGAACACTCTAGTTTGTGTACAGTGATCGGGCGACACTGAGAACACTCTAGTTTGTATACAGTGATCGGGCGACACTGTGAACCCTCTAGTTTGTATACAGTGATCGGGCGACACTGTGAACACTCTAGTTTGGATACAGTGATCGGGCGACACTGCGAACACTCTAGCTTTTGTGTACAGTGATCGGGCGACACTGCAAACACTCTAGTTTGTATACAGTGATCGGGCGACACTGCAAACACTCTAGTTTTGTATACAGTGATGGGGCGACACTTTGAACACTCTAGTTTGTGTACAGTGATCGGGCGACACTTAGAACACTCTAGTTTGTGTACAGTGATCGGGCGACACTGAGAACACTCTAGTTTGTATACAGTGATCGGGCGACACTGTGAACACTCTAGTTTGTATACAGTGATCGGGCGACACTGCAAACACTCTAGTTTCTATACAGTGATCGGGCGACACTGCGAACACTCTAGTTTTGTATACAGTGATCGGGCGACACTGTGAACACTCTAGTTTTGTATACAGTGATTGGGCGACACTGCGAACACTCTAGTTTTGTATACAGTGATCGGGCAACACTGTGAACACTCTAGTTTTGTATACAGTGATCGGGCGACACTGCGAACCCTCTAGTTTTGTATACAGTGATCGGGCGACACTGTGAACACTCTAGTTTTGTATACAGTGAACGTTAGTCTGGATACTCATGTGTAGACTCCAATAGAATGATTTGTTTTTCATTTTTGCGACTCCCGTTTTGTGGATATTGTTTTTCATTTCACATGAGCAAGAATCAGTTACATAGCATTAAGTGTCAAAGGTTTCAACAGACCTTGATGCAGATCTGTTCACCTTTAACTCAATCACCCTCAAATGACAATCATTCTTTCTCAGTCTTTTCGGATATCTTCTCTTCTAAAGAGAAGATTTAAATAGCAATATAACGATTCAGAACGTCATGTTTTGATGAAGTGATATTGTACAGAGGAGAAAGGAGATTACTAGTCATCAGGTCTAACAGTGGTTCGCTGGCTGGTCACTTTGTTACAAATTATTCAGTTTTAAACTGGTTCCAGATTTCAGTTTCCAAATCTAAGTAGTAGTTTTGCTGAGTTCTGACCAAGATAATGTATTATATAGACTACTGTGTAAGTGAATGTAGGATTTGTGGAGCATCAGCAATATATACAGAGATTATTGAATTTATGAATGATTGAAAAGATAGGTGTGCAGTTTGGAAGCAGTGATGAATAGTATATTTTAATTGAATATAGTTTGAAACAAATATGTTATAAACTGATGTACACAATTATTATAAACAAAAAAAGTTAATATCGAAGATTCTGTCATTGTCTGTGAAATCGTCAAATTTGTTTTTGTATATTGTTGTATAAAGTAATTACATATTATATGTCAGTATGCAAATAATCGAAATCAAAATATGTTTCAAATAGGTATCTCATGCACTGGCAGAGAAAGTGATTGGTTTTCAACTTTTCTAATTGAATTTCTTCCTTCTTTTGATCAGATGTGATATACAATAGCTATATTAACCGCTTTTGTGGTAATCATCAATATTGGTGCATTTCAATAAATGTCAATTTTAGCTAACCTTGCATAGGGTGCTTATGAGCATACAGTTATGGTGCCCTCGTCAACGTTTTGTTTTCTTTGAATTATTTCTGTTAAACAGAAATACCTAGGGCATAGTAATTGATCAGTAGCTATCTGGGGTAGAGTTTCATAAAATGAATTACTGTGACAAACTTTCAAGGTCACTGGTCAACGACTTGCAGGTTAAAATATTTCATACCTAAGTAAATGAAATTCCATGTGAGCACTACAGGCCAATGGACTTTTTCTTTGACAACCAAATTTTAACATTTAAAATATATGTACATTGAATATATATAAATATGTGTCTGCATATTTATCCTTATTTGATGTTTTTGTTTTAACTTTGCCTCATCTATTCCATCAATGTATTTCACTGAGACCAAAATTGCATTTTGCAAGTTAGTAGAATTGTAGGACGGGTCCATGCTATAGGTCGATTGTTATTAGTGTGTATGTATGTTTGTGTGTGTGGGTATGTTACCATTACAAGTGAGACCGCAGTGTGAACGCGTGTGTGGCATCAGAGTCCCATATCACAATGGGTCTATGGGGTATTCATTACTATTGCTTGTTTACAAATTTTGGTGATTTGGTGTGGCTTCATGTGGATGAGAAGATTATGTTATTGTAGAGAAACCAGTAAACATGCTACCACAATGTATACAGGTTACCATGGAGATACTGTAGGTACATGCTACCATAAATGTATGTACATGTTACCATGGAGATACCTGTAGGTACATGTTACCATTAATGTATGTACATGTTACCATGGAGATACCTGCAGGTACATGCTATCATAAATGTATGTACATGTTACCATGGAGATACCTGAAGGTACATGCTACCATAAATGTATGTACAGGTAACCATGGAGATACCTGTAGGAACATGCTATCATAAATGTATGTACAGGTTACCATGGAGATATCTGTAGATACATGCTACCATAAATGTATGTACAGGTTACCATGGAGATACTTTAGGTACATACTATCATAAATGTATGTACAGGTTACCATGGAGATTCCTGTAGGAACATGCTATCATAAATTTATGTACAGGTTACGATGGAGATACCTGTAGGTACATGCTACCATAAATGTATGTAAAGGTTACCATGTAGATACTTTAGGTACATGCTATCATAAATGTATGTACATGTTACCATGGAGATATCTGTAGGTACATACTATCATAAATGTATGTACAGGGTACCATGGAGATACCTGTAGGAACATGCTAACATAAATTTATGTACAGGTTACCATGGAGATACCTGTAGGTACATGCTATCATAAATGTATGTACATGTTACCATGGAGATATCTGTAGGTACATACTATCATAAATGTATGTACAGGGTACCATGGAGATACCTGAAGGTACATGCTACCATAAATGTATGTACAGGTTACCATGGAGATACTTTAGGTACATGCTATCATAAATGTATGTACAGGTTACCATGAAGATACCTGTATGTACAATACCAAAGATGTTCATGGATGTACCAGTTTGTATCTATGCTTTACAAGAGATACCCGTATGAATGTGTATGTTACCATAAAGATGTATATGTTACCATGAATTTATGTACACTCCACTTGTCACTAGGTTACTCAGTGCAATAAAAGGCTACAAACCATTCACACCTTTGTTTTTATGTAACAATCCAGTAAAATGTACACCCAAAGCCATACATAATACGCCCATCACACGTTAATTGAATAAAGGGATATAACTCGGTCAATTACTGTCGGATAACTGGTTATTGAACTTGTCCGAGCTGTCATAGTAATTAACTCTCCCATGAAGTTTGAATTTAAACTGTTGAATTCTCATTTATCATGCGCCAATACATATAAAGTAAAAGTGGAAAGTGAACTTTGCTTTGCAAACATTTTGTCAAAAGAGTAACATGTGTAGGATAATAAACCTAAAGGGCCCTGTTTACTTTTCACCAGTTTTGAAAACAGAAGTGTCCATTCCCAACAGGTCATTGTCAGTAAAACAGAAGTGTCCATTCCCAACAGGTCATTGTCAGTAAAACAGAAGTGTCCATTCCCAACAGGTCATTGCCAGTAAAACAGAAGTGTCCATTCCCAAAAGGTCATTGCCAGTAAAACTGATACGTGATCCAGTACTTCTTCAAATCAAAATGTGTTTCTTCTTCAAATTTACCATATTCGCGAATCCAAGATAGACTGTCATAAAAACAGCCATTCCAGCAACAAATACTAACACGTTTTTCTGATCGTTTATAAAAATAGGCATTTGTT